TCTTTATGAGCTCTATGATATCAGTGGTTAATATGTTTGGGCCATTTTTAGTGAATATTTATAATAATGCTGCAAATCTACAGTGTTTTATTAACCCAAAACTGTTTTTCGCGTTTTTCTCGAATTGAAGTTTCGATTGAGTACGACTCATTGGGACCGCCGCCAAATCAAGTGCGTTCGGACTAGGACATTCAAACTCGCAGTTATCGTTCAATAGATAATGATGGTGAAAAATATGTCTGGGTTTTTAAAGAAAATGCTTTGTCACAGAATAATAGTCTGTTAAAGGTGTCAAGTATGAAATAAGTTGAGGACAAAAAAACAAACCTGCATAGAAATCGGAATAATAGGTCTTTTGATTATCTGAGACGCATTTCAATGGACTTGATTACGGACAATGCATGACGTAAATTTCACCAGGAAATTCTGCAGTGTGCTCTCGCAATCGCGTACTTAGTCATTTTTACAAGGTTCGCCATTTTTGATGTCACGTGATAATTATGTAAACAACGACTGTCCAGTTTGTGCGAAATTGTGCCTCTATACTTAGTCTTTTGAAATATATAAGCTAAATTACTCTTCTGAACAACACAACAGACAGAGAATGTTTTATTCGAAAATGTCACAAAACCCTTCTCGCTACCTTAAAGAGCATGATTTTTTATGAAGATATGCCCATTTTAGTTGTAAAAGTACCAAACAGAATCATTGCCAATAATGTATTTGTGAGGATTTTGCATACAAGTACATGTCTATGTATATACTGAACTGGACCACAGTCAAGCACCCACCCCTCACCTTTAGGTCACATTCAGCAAAGCAGCCACCCCTTCAAAATGCCACTAATTTAAAATTTGTTTTCTTTGATCACTTTTGCGGTACGTATACGGTATAGACCGAGCTCATTCAATGATCGTGACATAATTTTAAAAATTGAATGTCAAATTTTACCAGACGAGGACCAATGTGGATTCGATATCGTTATTTTTGGAATTAATCACTAACATTTCCTCGTTTCTCTGCTCTGTCAAAAGGAGTTACCTAGGCTTTTTTCACGTAACTGTCTCATTAAAATGAAAAAAAATATTACATCTAGAACAAGCACCCAAAACACGTAACAAGAGGTCCCAGTTCAGTTGCTTTCACGATACAAGTGTAATACAACTATTAGATTTGAAGTGTCGTTCAGAATGTAATAATAGTTAATACTAGTTGTATGTTCACACTTTACTATCAAAACCACCATTTCGACCACCCATGTGCCAGTTTTCAGTGTTTGGGCGAGCGGTCAATGTTTTCGATGAGCGAGCGAGCGAAAAAAAAAATTAAAATGCGGTCGGTTTCCGGTCGGACAAGACCGCGTGGTCGGAAATTAAGCGATAAGCGGTCGATGTAAAAGCGGAAGGTTGGGCGAAATGAGTACTGTATGACCATGTTTCTCCGACGAAGTCTCGACTGACAATAATGCTGACAATGGACTTAGATAAACACGCATTGTTTGCAACTGGAAGCTTATCACCCGTTATATCAGAATCGTCAACAACAGAGTATACAGATAAGATGTTATCATTTAAACCCTTTCAAAGATAAACACTATGCAAATATCCACGAAACGGCAGTTGTAGTCTTTTCTGCTAGTGTTTTAAAACACTAATTTGAGCAACGTTATTTCGCAATTTCGATCTTTTGTAAACCTGGGGTGATGTATCAAGGTCTAGAGTAACCGTTTTATCAATTTTTGAAAAATCAAGAAAAAAGTGAAAATTTCCCTTCTCGCTACCTTAAGCAATAGTTACTATATAAAAATGAGCGAAAAAGAGTACACTTCACTACATTCAATTACCCACCATAGACTCCGGTCAGTCAATTTTGAACTGTAGGCATTAATCAGCGATTCTGCCAATGACGGAGAGATAGAATCTAGGTCAGGGGAAACCCCATGATTCTTTTCCCTTTCGTCACGAACCACATGACCAAGGCCATATGGCGGCACCATTACAGCCGGATAATCACTCTTTATCTCTGCATCAACGGGAATGAAGTCTAGCGGCTTTGCCTGGATAGCCTGCCTTTTCCTGTCCGAGTTTCTGGCTTGGGTTGCTACCGCAGCCATCGGTAGTCGACACTGTGGCTGGTAGGATAAGTTTTTCTTATTTTTTTCATCCCCCGTCGACTTCCCCCTTTGTGTGTATAATTTTTCACAACAAAGAGAATTACCATTAAAATCCTATTATAAACCGTGGTTTATATTACAATGTATCAAATAAAAAATTGGGATCAACAGCTCAAGTTCGGGTTGCGGTTTCTATTACGTACATATTGCAATCACTAAATGGACGTGGTCATTTTTTTCCCCACATCACTTGTACAAAACAAACAATACACCGTACAATCTTTTGAATATAAAGGCAACTCTAATTTAGATGTCAGGGAAGAGTGATAAGCGTCACGTCATAAAAAAACTGTGCACATGAAAAAAAAATACTCAGTATATTTAATGTAATATGCATTTATTTTTTTAATTTTCTTCCTAACGGAAAGTATATTCTGATACGAGTTTCAAATAAAAACAAACATTAATGCATTGCTTAGTAGAGTTTGATCATGGTACGGCACTAAAAAAGTACGGTACCGTGGGTACGGTAACGCAATCCGGCCATGCTTCGGCTCACAAGTGAATAACTTACTTGTTTTTGAAGTGTTGAAATTGTTGATTATTACTCAGTAGTGATTATAATAACTCACGAAAAATAAATTTGTTGAATTGTTATCAAATGCAAGTAAAATTCAACGTAGTTTCACCGCAAGCGAATTATTTCGTTCACATGTAAACGATCGATGCGATACGACATCCGCCATGTAGTTTGAATGCACATGAGACGTTACTTGACCGGATAGGTCAAGTCGCTAATTAACCAATCAAAATGCTGGATGGTGCCCACGTGTTCAAATTACCTTAGTTTATTTAAATATGTTAATGACAGGTCATCGACTTCATGGTGAACGAAACGCGGAAGCGATTTACCGATAATGTAGTGCGATTTTTTGGCTTTGATTTCTATGGGAAAACGACATGACTTTTTTTTTAAATCAAGAAATTTGATAAACTAAGCATTGAAAGAGAATTTTACAGTTTTTTGGTGATAACAGCTCATTGTCAAAAACTTGCGACACACAGACGTATTCATAATAAGGAGTATTGAAAAAAGTTGTCACAAGAACAAAAGCCATTTCACTGCGTGTTTGACATCCTAACAATACTGAACAATAAAGAGGTGTGAATATTCAGGCACGTTGTCGAAACAAATGAATA